AACTGCTGCAGAATCTCAATAATTTGAACTACCTTGATGTCAGAGTTTGCAGCAGTAATCACATCCAGAAGCACACACAGGTAACTCTTTCAGCAGGATTCATTAATTTCTCTTTATATATAACATAACACATGAAGTAAATATTCAATGCCAAAAGCAGTTTTTTCAACGTGGTAGAGAAGAGATTGTAAGTAGGTACAAACACAAGCAGAGGAGAAAACAGTTTCAGTTCAGAACAGCAGACTAGCATGCAGCTTTAGTACAGAACAGTTGAGCTAAGCCACACCCAGGCTCCTTGCTGTCTCCTTGTTGCTCATACAGCAAATAAAGTTTCAGTTTCCAAACAGCCCTCATTGGCCTGACCCAATTGCCATGTCTCTTTATTGGCTGACTTTGTTGTCATGTCTCTTCCAGGCATGAACTCTCATACAAACTGATGCTTGAATTATGGAGGAAAAGAGACAGGTAGTGAAATTCACCTATCTCCTCCATTTTCCCATAGTTCTAACCAAATCAGGGTCCCTGTACATTTCTGAATCCAATATGCTTCCTATCCTGGTAAGCAGTATGCATTACACCAGTAGCACACAACCAACAGAACCAAGCACTCTTTCCATTTTAAGTTGATCCTTTGAGCTAGTACCCTCACTACATAAGGTTGTGTTTTTTTTCAATCTAGGTACTAGCAACCTTCCCAAAGAGCATTCAGCCTGTGCTTAAGAAACTGATCTTGTGCTCTTTCAAAGCTGCAAAGGGGCAGATTCCTCCTTGCAGTCCAAGCCAAACTAGCATGGAACTCAGTGTTCCAAAGAAGCATGCCTGCAGCAACCTCAAGCTAGTCTATGGCAATTCTCTGCAGCTAACTTGCCATGGCCAACTTGTTATGGCTAACTCACCATGGCACAACTCATCATGGCCAACTCGCCAAGGGATAAATCACTGCAAGACAAGAGTTACACTAATATCAAAGAAATGTTGGAATAGAATCATTAAAAAAGGGATGCAAAAGGAAGAACAGAATAAAATGCAAATGACAAAAGTTAAAGTAGTTGTTCATTCATTTTAAATAATTAAATTGAATTGTTAAATTATCCTGTGGCGAGTTGCCCTGCAGTGAATTGGCCATGGCGAATGGTCCCACAATAAGTTGGCCATGTTGAGTTGTCTGCGGAGAGTTGGCCCCATTCCAACCTCAAGTGGAGAGTAGGAGTAGGATAGATCCCAGATCCTGATTCATGCTCACCAATTACGGTTATTGGTAGAGCAAGACATCTGCCAGAAAAAGGGAAGAAATATAAAAACTGAAGACATCTGCCTCTCTGCTGGATGAGTGATAAGATGAAAGTATCTTCATAAAGATAAACCCTTTAAAAAATAACTAGGGAGGGATCTTTGTGCTGCAACTAGGTGCACCTGAGGATGATCTCCTAGTCATTACATGCAGAGCATGTAAGTTCTACATGTTATATATCTGTACATTTTCAGGCAATAGTCTACATTTACCCAATCATTTTTCAACTTCAAAAGTTCTGAAAATCAAAAACTTTGCTCATGTTTTCATATGTCCAATTCAAGCATTGTTTCTTACCTGTAAGTACCATATTTTTCGGAGTATAAGATGCTCCTTCCTTTTTCGGGGAGAAAAACAAGAAAAAAGATATGCCTTTCCCTCCCAGCATCCATCCAGTATTTATCTAGCCTGTTCACCATGGCCCATTCAATGCTGCCACGGCCCATTCTCCAAGACCCATTCGCCACTAACTCAGCCCATTTGCCACCAACTGTTCACCACCATCCTTTCGCCGCTGCCGCAGCCTGTTCAAGCACAGCCCATTCATTGGTGCCGATCTTGCTGCCTGAAACCGGCCTTAAATACAGTGCACAGAGGCCAAAAACAGGAGATGTGGAGGCCAAAAATGCAATGCGCGGAGGCTGAAAATAGCTGAAGGGTGGGGGCTCCAGCAGCATTCGGTGTATAAGATACACCACAATTTTTACCCACTTTTAAGGGGGGGCGAAGTGCATCTTATACTCTGAAAAATACGGTAATGCTTTACACTTATGTATCAAGATCCCAAATCAGAAGCCTTTCAAGCACGTCCACTTTTTCCCAGCTGCAAAAGCAATAGCAATTCCCCAGGGCTCTCTTCTCCAATATTTATACAAAACCTGACCTGACAAATACGCGCCCAACAACAGCGTGCCGACAAAACCACAGTGATAAAACCGTGACGTCGACAGTGCACCCACGAAGGCGCGCCGACAAAAGAGCGCCAACAGAAGCACCATTACGGTTAAGGTAAGGGTTAGGGTAAGGGTTAGGGTTAGGATTAGGGTTAGGTTTAGGGTTAGGTTAGGGTTAGGTTTAGAGTTACGTTTAGAGTTACATTTAGGGTTACCTTTAGGGTTAGATTTAGAGCGCACTTCTGTCGGCGCGCTGCTGTTGGCGCGCTTCTGTGCTCCTTTGTCGGCGCAATTTTGAACTCGCGCTTTTCTCCCCGCGGTTTTGTTGGCGCACTTTTGTCAACCGCATATTTGTCAGTGAACCTATACAAAATGATGTTGAAGGGCTTGGCAGCAGTGCTGGATGCTAAAGTTGCATCCATAAACTGCCAAAATGAAATAACCTTTGTTTTACATTTAAATTAAAAATGATGGACTTTGCAAGATTATGACATCCTTCAATACTTTTTTCTTTCTCTTAAGAGATCTTTCTATTTCTGTATGAGATAGGGAGATTTTGGAGGTAAGATTATGCGAAGATGTTAATAACATATTTTTAGGGTTCGGCTTTCTGTATTTGTTTTAATTCTTTGTTTATTATGATGGTGCTGAGAATCAGTTTCTTGATTGCACCTGAAAATGTGGCATCTTTCAAACAGGAGCCTAACCTCAGGACGGGTTTGGAGCTGAAAAAAATATTGAATTCTTTTCAACCACATAGCTTTTTATGAAAGAGAATGAATATGAAACATGAAAACAGAGGATTCAGACACCTCTGAATAGGCCTAAAATAGGAGCGGATTTGAAAAATGTCTGACAAAAAGTATGTCTGAATCAAGTTTGCATTTGGCAATTATGATTGTCAGTGTACCTCTGCTTGGGCTTTGATTCTTGGCAGCTAACATTACTTAGTATAATCAAAGTCATGTAAATTACAGTATGTGCAATTGGTTCCAGAATTGCTGGTATTTTCAGACGGTGTCTTTTTTTTTCCCTGCACGCTCACATCTGCCCTTTCTACAATTTCCAGGTAACAATCTGAGATCTGAAATTTGAAAAGTAGTTCAGTGTGATAAAAGAGAAAATAGCTCGAAGTCCTATATTCGGGGGGGAGGGGTGTTGATAAGGACGAAACAAACAGAAAATTAAGCAAGCTATTGAAACATCTGATCATCTTCCAGCTCAGTCAGTTTAGACTTTCACAACTCAGGTATGCGCGGGAAGGTAATGTGGAAGATCTGTAGAGTCCTCTTGTATTACCTGCAGAGGTCCCAAGCAAAATATGTCTTGCATGCCTTGTAAAAATAATTTTTATAATGGACAGTCTCTGACAGTGATGAACTTGCTTGAGACCAAGGAAGGTAGATTTTAAAACTTCCAGGTATTAAAATAATGCTAACCCTAATCTTTCCAAACCTGGAAATATATGATCTCTATTTTCCTGAACATAACTCCCAGACAGGAATATTTGGGCTTCCAATCATAAGCATTCAAAAAAGACAACTACACAATACAAAGAATTAAGAGATCAGGGTAGAACAAGTTGATCCCATCTATGACTTCCTTAGCAGATGGAGATCCACTAGTCATTACTTTGCTGGGAATTGAAGATATTTTTATGGGTTCTTCCAATTAAAAGATCTTTCCCCAATTCCCTTAGGCCTTAAGCCGCAGGAATTCATATTAGACTGCACCCATGTTCTTCTTCTATAAAACACAAATAATGGTACGCTACCTTGTGTAAAAGTATGAATAATATAACAGACTACAATGATGCTTTTTGCATGTAAAAATTGATTTATGCTTAGTAATTAAATTGCAAATAGCATTTGCTAATCCTTAACTACAGAAGAAGGTGATGACCAGATCTGAGCTGACAGAGAAGTTAACAGAACTAAATTGACTTGACTGTTCCACATGAATTTGTTCTTAATAATCCCAGGTTACTAAAGCAATTTATTTTTTCCCATTACCTTTTTTTTCTCTTGTAAATCATTTGTTGGCATCATTTAGAGTCAATCAATTGCTTCAATACTTGCTAACATGTCCTTAAAAATACACTATAACAAAGCCAAAAATTGTGGGGGGAATAGAAGAAAGACAGCAATATAGCTGAAGGATAAATTCAATAACAAGCACTTTTTTGTTCAATGCTTTGACAAAATTCATAATTTTCCAACCCTCTGATTTTTTTGGTTTCTTTTATTTTAATGACACAAATTCATGTAAATATATTCAGGATTGCATCCTTAGAATACCATGCTATGAGTTTGGAATAGCTTTTGAAGATGTTCTATACATTAATCTGGTACAGATAAATTTTATCTGGTGCAGATAAAAGGTTAACTAAGTACAATTATATTGGTCCTCATTTGAAGATGCTAATGCTTTCCTAAGAAACTCCTATTGCTGGTATCCCAGAAAGATGGATTGTCAAGGAATGGCATTTCTCATAATAGTCTGCTGGATAGTGTGGTTATCTGACACAATCTTCCTTTGAGCATCACAGAGATTTGAAATAAAAATGGGAGGTGAAGAGAGAATTTGGCTTTATCAACACAACACTAGCCTTCTATCTTTAGTGAGATTTACTATCAGGCAGATGTCACAAAGAATGAGGGCTTCAGTACACAAGTTGGAACACTGTGCATGGTGGTTAAAAGACACAATTGTCTTTTGTGCCTGCTTACATTTGGAGATTTTAGGAAATGAAATGCAAATAGTAATTCTGTTGTTACTTTCTCACCTCTGTTTTCTTTTTTTTCTTTTTAACCTAGTGAATAGCGTTAAACACATAGTAAGAAAGTACCGTGGGCATCTTCGAACGAAAATTGAATCTGGAGAAGGAACCATTCCAGCTCGATGTACCAATGGAATTCAAACATGGGATGGTGTGTTGCTGGGGGAACAGCTAATCACAATGTCTTGCACAGACAAAATTGCCAGGTAATATTTTAATGAAACTGAACAGCAGGAAGCAGTGAATGTGGATATGACATTAATTAAATAAATCCTAAGCAAATCCTAAGGAACTTCTTTAGTATTGCCATATAATTGCATTGTTTTAAACCATTGTATTAGAGTTGGTTTGAAAATATATATATACACATACATACATACATACATACATACATACACACACACACACACAGAGAGAGAGAGAGAGAGAGAGAGATACATACATACATACATACATACATACATACATACATACATACATACCAGTGGTGGGATTCAACCAGCCGCACCTATTCGGGAGAACTGGTTGTTATCTTTCTAAGCAGTTCGGAGAACCATTTGTTGGAAGAAATCCCATTTTGTTTTTTCCCACTTTACAGGGCTAATCCTGTAAGGAAGGCAGGAAGGAAACATTCTGGTGTTGTTTCTAGCCTANTCCTTTTGTTTTTTCCCACTTTACAGGGCTAATCCTGTAAGGAAGGCAGGAAGGAAACATTCTGGTGTTGTTTCTAGCCTAATCTTTAGTGCCCTCCTTATAAAAACTGCCTCTCCAGTGTAAACCCTTATTACATTGTACAAAGTGCCCATTGGCGTGAGTGACGTTGAGTTGACCACGCTCACCCAGTCACATGAACACTGAGCCTCACCTACCCATTTGGTCATTTGGTCATTAGGGCAGAGAACCGGTTGTTAAATTATTTGAATCCCACCACTGATACATACATACATACATGCATACATACATATGACACACAGACACATGACACAGAGACATGCACACAATGTTATTATAGCAATTGGATCAGGACTAATATGCTTTTCATAGGTTTACATGTCAGTAATGTATGTTTTCCTTAGGAGAAAGATCACCTGTGGTTAGGTGACTTTTCAGGCTCATCTGAATTTTTTATATTCTGAATTACCAACCAAGGAATCAGTGACACTAGTTGTGTAGTCCTTATGCACTGTAGACATTTCTGATGTGTGTTTTAGAATACTCTCAACAGTATATGCCCGCTATGGAGCCAGTACAGAAATAGTGAACATTTGTCGACGTGTTCTCCCCCCCCCCCAAGAATTAAATGACCTTATAATTGTAACTGAGAAACTGTGTTAAACTGTGATTAATCTATGTTAAAACAGAGGAAGATCACCTATCCAGGCTAAGAGGTAGACGGTAAAGTATCCCCTCCCCCAGCTGTCTATTTGAATCCTGATGAGGGGGGGGGGGGAAATCCCAAAAAGTTTCAATGAAACAACACATTCTACTCATGAGCCATGATGGCACAGTGGTTAGAATGCAGTACTGCAGGCTACTTCTGCTGACTGCTGGCTGCCTGTAATTTGGCAGATTGATTCTCACCAGGCTCAGGGTTGACTCAGCCTTCCAGGCCTCTGAAGTGGGTAAAATGAGGACCCAGATTGTTGGGGGCAATATGCTGACTCTGTAAACCGTTTAGAGAGAGCTGTAAAGCACTATGAAGTGATATATAAATCTAAGTGATATTGCTATTATAAATCACAGTTATATAAAAGAGCTATTGGCTACCTAATTATTTATTTGTTATAAACATGTCTTGTTTATCTGACTAAGTAATGTGTTTCTTATGCTGAGCAATACATCCAGTTGTCCCTTTTAGTCCAAAGGAAAAAGAACTAAATTTGAATTTTTGCAAAATTTTGTTTCAGCTACTCTAAACGCTCCTTCTTGTTCAGTACAATACTGGATACTTACATGTTTCTGCAGATGACATTAATTCTAAAATAATAGGCCACAACAATAGCACCCTACTAACAAATCAATATATGGTTCATTGGAATATAAGGTTCTTTGACAATAATGTAAAGGCATGAAAGCTGGCTGGGTGACTTTGGGACAATCACCAGACGATTGTGAGTTCTAATCACACTTGCGCATGAAAGCCAACTGGATGACTATGGGCCAGACTCTGTGTTTTGGCCCAATTCACCTCGCAGAGTTGTGGAGAAAATAGAAATTAGGTAAAATGTTTTCCCTCCCCCACCCTCCGGTGGGATCCGTCTATCAGGGCAACCTGTTCTACCCAATTATGGGATGGAGCATACTGCTTCCATTTTCGCCTTTCAGCCCCAATCCAGGGGCCTTCGCAGGCAGTCCTTTTCCCAACAAATTACTTTTGTGTTAAATTAATGTTTTACTGATTAGGCTATGGCTAGCTGATGAGAGCTAAATAGCTTGAAATAAATCTGTACTAGTCTCACTTTATTTCCTTGTCGGTAAAACAAAAATTGAACACTAGAAATTAGGTACACTTGCTGCCTTGAATTATTTATAAAAATAATAAGGGCAAGATAAAAAGTCTAAAAATATATAAATAAATAATCAACCACGCGCATGTATATGTGTAATTTTTACTTATATACTTCCTACAGTGATACAATTTACAATAAGGTGATGAGACCCAATAAATGGCATTCCACTACTTCAGCAGAGGAAAGTTTCCTACTTTTTATTTCCTACATAAGGCTTCATCTAGATATGAGAAAAAATAACAATTTGGGTGGGACACTTATGTACATGCATTAAGTTCTGTGCAGAAGAGAGCAGTGAGGCATTACAGAAAAAAATATTATTATTTTGCTGTAAGCAGCACAAAAATATTTACTTTAAAAGTTTGCAAAAGTTTACGAAGTAATAATCTGTTTAAAATCAATGGTATTGCCCAATCAGGATATGTCTTCACCTAATTGATTCAACTCTAACAATTATGTAGGAGTCTAATGACACTACATCAAAATAATGGAGCACATGGGTAATGAAACAATCTCAAAATAATGGCATTAGATCAACATTTTCTCTAACATTTAATCAGATAGATAAAGAAGAAGCCTCTTGTGCTGTTCCCTCACTGCTTCTGAATACAACCCAACTTCTAAAATGAGATTTCAGGAGGAAGAGGACAACTAAATCAATTATAGCTTCCCTGACAAAATGTTGCTGTCTCTGTTTTTCTCTGTGTCAATATATAATAAATTAAATATCAACTCAAGAATCAGATTATATTTTAATATTGATGAAAAAGTCAATTTCAGTACTGAGGGTATAAAGCTGCATTTTCTTCAACTAATGAAAACCAGATGAGAACTTGTATTTCTCCTACAGACTGCTGCAAAATACTGTGATATATTATCATGATTGATTCCAGGATCAAAAGACAATCCGCCAACTTAATATTCAAAAAATATAATTGTTAATATATTTATTAATTAATTACATATTAATATAATCATGCCATGGGGCTTCTTAGTCAGTTGTACAGCTGTTAAAATCAGAGAAGAGATGACATATAGCTGAGGTTACTCTCATTTGTGGTTTCTCTTCAGTTTGTATAAATCTCAACATTTTTTTCAGGATTCTGTCCATTAGCCCTATTGACTGGAAATTACTAAATTTAACACCATCTAAAGAACTGACCATGAAATGCAAATCTACCATCTTCTGAATTTTATTAGAACAGCCAAAGTTACCTACATTGTTAGTGTAATCTGTGTGTGTGTGTGTGTGTGTGTGTGTGTGTGTGTGTGTGTGTGTGTGTGTGTGTGTTTTCAAACTCTGGAACGCCTCAAGCATTTTCGACCAAACTTGGTACACAGATAACTTTCTCTCTGGAAACAAACACTGTGAGGGTAAGACACCCATAACACCCCACCGGGTGTCTGTGTGTGTCTATGTGTGTGTGTTCCAGCATTACTCTGGAACACCTGGGCCGCTGAAACAAAAAGGAATGAATGATATCTATAGGGTCATATCACAGTACTTTTGACAGTGATAGTGTGCATTAGTGTGATAGTGTTAGAATACAGCCTGTTGTGCCTTAAGATGACATCTACTGTACAGCACAGTGGAGTTGCCATATTAACGGCTTCACAGTACTCCACAAGGGGGCTCCAACCTAATACAGAATTAGGATAAATAAATACCCGTGCAATGCCGGGTTATCAGTAAGACTAAGAACCAACAAATATATCCCCTATCAATATGCATCCATAATTATGGCTACATTTAGAAAACATCAGAGGTGAAACGTGAAGAAATTTATGTGCACAGGGGTAAAAATACATTAACTATATATGAAAGTAGGTTATGGATGCATATTCAGCTGAAAAACTTCAAAAGTATTAAGAATTTATTTTAATGACAGCTCACTGTAAAATCAGTAGAGAACATGAAGGGATGGTCAACCAAAATATATCTTTGCTATATTGTTTCCTGCTGTTTTAATGTTGTGCATTGGCCAGAGTCTTTGTAGATTTGAGCAGTCTTCTAAATTTGATAAATAAATGTCTCTGGCATCATTGGTACTTGCTAGCTTTTTTGCAGATGTTTCAGTACCCAACTAAGTGACATCATCAATGTTAGAATGGAATAGAGTTTGGTTTGCTCTTTATTTGCCTTGTCAGTGTTGGTGGGCTCATACTAGTTTCTTAATTAGGCTGTTGTTTACTGTTTGATTGTTGTCTGAGTTGGTAGTTGTTCATTGGATATTATTTACTGCTTGATTGTTTTTCTGGTATTAATCTGCTGTTGATCTCTGCTTAGGTAGGTGTTGATTGCTGGCAAGGAGGCATTTCAGTATCTCTTCGTGTGAATATATACTAGTTGTTTCTTTATAGGCTGTAACAATCTAAATATTCCCATTTGCCTAAATAAATTTATTGACAATTGAATCTTTCATTCCATTTACTTTTTAGAGATATGAAGAAAATTCCCCATTTAGATCATCAATCATAGTTGCTTTAAAGCAACCTATTTGCCTGACGTACACAGAGAATCAGAATAGTATTTTTCTAATAGATTAGAAAGAATTACTGAAGCCTGGTGAATAATGCACAGTTAATAATTTATCTAACAGCTGTTATCATTTTTCTGTACTCACAAGATATGGAAGCAAGAAAGCAGTTTCATCAATCTGATTATCATTCAAAGGACTAGGCAGCATTAAAGCATT